TATAGAATAATATTCGTACCTTATTTTAACTGGTTTTCTCTAATAAACACAAAATTTCTTCACACAAAAAGTGATAAATTTGATGTTTTCTTATTTACCAAAAACTATTATTTAATGTACTTGAAAGTAACATACTGTCTTATATTGACATAATTACCTTGTAAAAGTCAACAATAGTAAATACCCTTACTTGAAGGACTTTTTCATTCATCAGCTGCTATTGTCGGTAGGGAAAATTAAACTAGATACAAAGTTTAGTTTTAAAATAGATTGCATAATTTGTTAAATTTACTTTTATTAAGAACCAACTCTTTTTTGAGTTATGTGAGATTAGCAAACCAGTAAACTTTAACACTAACAATGAAATTTCATGCCATTAAAACGTAATGTGACAGCTGCTGCCTATTAAAAGTTTCTGATAGTCAATGACAAGCAGTCAAGAAATGAACTTGAAATTTTTAGTTTAGGTTGTAAACTGGCGGGTAACTTTTCTTAACTCTCATTGACATATTCGGCATGTTGTAATATCAATTATTGCATGATGCGAAGCTTTTGATCAAAATTGAGAGGTGGAATGTTCATGCCGACAAGAAATTTATCGACTCCAAGTTTTGAAACGTTTTTTTTTTCTTGAACACTCAAACCATGAAAATCGATAAAAACGAATATACACTAGCTTCAGTCCTATGAAAAGTAGTAAAAAAAAATCAGTTCAAAGTCTGATACTTTCATTCATGATCTTAACATAATAATAATTAATTCTACTAATAACAGTTTTATATAAGAATTAAATACACAGTAAAGCATAATTTACCATAAGTCGGATTATTTTTAACTATGGTTTTTTTCGATGAGATTACAGTAGATGAAGATTGTTCACTGAAACTAAATTTTGTTTCATTTGTCTAAACAAAAAAGCAAAAAATAATCAACGATTGAATAAAAATATTTTCCATTATAATTTAATTACTTTTGATTGTTGTTCAACAGTTGAAAGAAATTTTTTTTTCGATTGTGGTGATGAAACATCATCCGAATATGATGATTTAGCTCGTTTTAAAGATAAACGTTTTTGATTTATATTTAAACATTCTTTAGATATTATTGAACTATTCATTGATGATTTATTTAATAATTTTGATAAAATAGAACCTTGTGAAAATGGATTTCCCTTTGGTAATTTACCTATTTTATATGGATAATTTTTCATAAGTTGATTATATGATGAAAGATCATTTAAACATAAATTAGCACATGTTCTATTTTGATGTTGACATGTTGGAAATATAAGTTGATATTGTTCTTGTTTTATAGAATGAAATTTTTTTTCTAATTGTTTATCAATAAGTCCAAAATGTGATGCTTGTTTTGATAATAAAAATTTTATTGATTCAATATCATTATTATTTGTTATTGTTAAATTTTCTTCAACTTGTAATATAATATCATAAAGAATATTTTGACAAAGTTTATATTCATATTGTTCATGTTTATTTAATAAATGATATTTTAATGTTTTTGAACATGGAAATGATAATAAACAATGATGACATTGAAATAATTTCGATGAAAAATTACCTAATGGTAAACGTTTTTGTTCACAAGCATTTTTAGCTATAAATGGAAATTGTTTTGTTGAAAAAGCAGTAACTAAATATGATGATATATAACTATAATCAGGTAAATCATCTTGTGAATAAATTGAATGTAAACGTTGTTGATGATTTTTAAGTGCACGATGTGTACGAAATTTAATATTACAATCCGAACACATTATTGATTGATTTGGATGAGACATATTTATATGATAATTAAGTCCGTAATTACTAGCAAAAATTGTTAAACATTGTTTACATATAGAAGAAAATGAAATAGAAGAATTTTTGTTTAGATTATTTTTAGTTTCTTTTATTATGAACTAAATAGAATATATAATAATAATAATAAGATTTAATTATTTTAATATTATTTTATTAGATAATCATTACATACTTCTTTATTTAAACAATGATGATTTTCAACAGATAATAATGTATGTTCATTAAATGATAAAAATCTATTAAATTTTACTTTTTGTTTTAATTGTTCATTATCATCTTTACTAATTGAACGTAAGAGAACATTCATGACGATAAAAATATTGTTGATGATCGATCATTGGAAAAAAGATCTATATATATAATATGAAAAATCTATTCAAACAAAAGACAACACATGAACAAACATAGCAAATAGAAATAAACAAGATTATGATTGTAGGAAAAAAAAACAAAGAATTGATATTAGAGAATTTGAAAAAGAAAATAAGATTATGACGTTTTTTTTTTTGTTTTTGCTCTGGACCTGAATACGACATCTGCCGTCGACCTCATCTCATATAGCAAACATATTGGAAAGAAGAAAAAGACGAAGAAGAAAAAAAATTTTATGTTAATGTTATAGAACAGAAATTAGTTTAAACTCAATATCATATCCATCATTGATTGTTAAAATGATGGATAATCTTGTTTGATTCTATCATTTCTTATCAATAACCTTAACTAGTTATTTGTCCAAAAAAACGATAATATGACATAAGTATAAGTTAAACAACGAATAAAAAAATGCAAATAGAAATGATACAAACAATAGAATGAACATTCTTTCATAATTCGCTCAAATATATACATCCGCCAATGAATGATGATGAATTTTGTATGTGCATATGTATACCTGATTAGAACGTGAAATATCTTAAATATATGACTTTTTTTGTCGAATGTTCTATTAACACACAATGAAATTTTCAAATAAAATCAATATATTTCTATATATTAATGTATAATATAATGAAATAAATAATTTATATCACTCGATAATTGTTATCGTTTCAGTCGCCATATTGCTTTTTTTGTCTAATGTACCTCAATAATGACGCAGCGTCACATTAAAACGAAGCAGGCAAGCGGACAGGCAAACAGACTGTTGACACTTATATTCCTCTTCTTTCTTTCAATAAGCATAAATCTCATGCTTTGTACAAGAAATTATGGTTCATTCATAATTCTAAACAATTATTAAGAAATTTCTATAAGAACATTAATCATCAATCATACGCATATTTCATGTTGGGGAAATGAATACGTAGTTAGTACTGTTTTGTTTTTTTATAGTTATTTTATTTTTTTTTTTTAACAATACAAACAAAGTACTTGAAAACTTTTACATAAATTCATCATCATAATCAACATCCTGTTCGAAATCATCAGCTTCATCACCAAAAGCACCATAGTCTGCTCGTCGACCAGTTTTTAGTTGTGGTTTATTTTGTTTTTTAGTTTTTGATTTAGCTTTTCTCTCACGTTCTTCACTTTGTTTTCGTAAATATATTGCTTGTAATGTTGCTTGTAAATGTTTAATATTTTCAACTGACATCGATTTTGTTATACCATTAAGAAAATGATCAATGAAATCAATATAAAATTCTGACGTTGATAATGTTTCAAGACGATTATATAAACGAAAACTATAATTGAGAAATTCTTCTCTTGTCAACAAATTAAGATCATCTAATGTATGATGTTCACCATTTTTTTCAATTAATTCAGATACCATATCTAATTTATCTTGTTCTTTTTGTAATTCACCTTTTTTTTGTATATTATCAAGTTCTTCTGGTGTATATTCTCCATCAGGTTCTTTTATAAGAATTTTATCAGATTCTTCATGATCATTGAATTTCTTTTTACTTGTCTTATTTTTAGTTGTTGTTACTGTTTTCGTTGATTCTTTTGGTTTTTCTTCGATCTGGGGTTTTTCAGGCTAAAACAAAAAACGATATTTCCAAATAGTCAAAGAAATTCATCAATCAACTAAACAAACTTTTTCTTCTAATTCAGCTTCCCAATCTTCAGGAGCTTCATAATCGTCTTTTACTTCAGCAGCTATTATGCTGTGATCTTGCCAATGATCAGTCATTATTAAATACAATACGAAATTGTAAATCTAGAATATCAAATTATATAAATACAGAAGAATATATACCAAAATGGAATCATGCAAAAACATATATGCAATTTAACTTATTATGAAATTTTGTCTATATTTTACCATGTTGTTCTTTATGTCTTATAGAAAAATGTCCTTTTTTCATACTCGATTCTATTTGATGGATGGTACTTGATATGAAACAAAAGCGCAAAAAAAAAAATTAAAATGAATAGTCATATGTCCATATTGTTATGTGAATAATAGGCCTTCTTGCAGAGCATGCTTGTGTTCCAAGGTAATTTTCGGCAGAATAATGCCCTGCTCTGATCGACCCTCTTTTTTTGAGATTGGTTATTTAGATATATTCGTTAGTTTAAAGAACTGAGTAGTTAACTGATGTCGCTATATATCGGCTGAAAAATCAAAATAAAAAATATAATATTATATCTATTTCTTAGATTAAAAATCACCGTTCAGAATAATTTCACAAGTTTCTTGCTTTCGGAATTTGACCCTGAGAAAAGGGACATTCTATTAATGAAAAATAGAAACGACAGAAATATTAATATTATGCCTTTTTATCGCACATTATGCTCTTAAATCAAGTTATATTTAACTAATGCATTGCTTAGTACATCATGAAATGATTGAACAATTAACTGATGAGATTCATGATTCGATTTTATTCATATCTCAATATGAAAATTTTAATTTTTTAGTTCAAACAGTTCATCAAATAGATATTTCATTGACATAGAGCGTAGGTGTTTTTTAGGGTAGGTGCATTTTTTTATTAGTCCACTAGAACAAATTCGAAAAACTAATATTATTGGGTAAAATCGATTTGAGAATTAAACCATCTGGAGATAAAGTCCATGTGTAAGACTATAAATGGTAGCAAATTTATATTTAAATAACTGCTTTCTAAAGCTTTCTTACTCCTATTCCGTAATTTGTAAAAGGTAAGATAACTATATTAAAACAAAATTTTTTTTCTAAGGCTTAACAATCATTTAGACCAATCTACGAAAATGAAATTTCTTGTATGCTTATTTGTTACTCTTGGTGTTGCCTGTGGTGCCTTATTACGTAAGTTAAATTAATAAAATATGAACATTAATAATATTTTCATTATTATTTCATTTTCTAAACAGCATTCAAACCCAACTGTCTCAGTGTTTTCTGTACAATGGATCTCAAGATTTGTCCTGATGGTACACGCGCTCCAGTTCCAGCTGGTGGATGCTGTCCATCATTGAGTGCTTGTGGACTAAATATTCATTCAATCAAACGTATGTTAATCTATAGATTTTGAAATAAATCACTTTGATAAATATAAGATCTCTCTAGAGGAATTGATGCATAAGATGTATTTGAACACCCCACGGCTTTTTATTATGTCCAAACAACTTCAGTTGTTTTTAGAAAAAGCTTTCCGGATGCTATTAAATGACTCTTGACGAGACGTTGTCTACGTATAAAACATATTTCTTCAGGCGTCAAATATTTATGATCAAGAATAAGCTCTAGAAATCGTTTTCATTTATGTCTGTTATCATAGTCACCGGATACCCGGTAATTGCTATTTTGCCTGAGAACAGGTATTTGAACATTATCACAGATTAACAAATTCATATATTAGCCAATTAGAAGTTCCTACTCTCCCACAGTAATATTGCGATGAGTTCTGCTTGTAACGGACCTAATAAGTATCATGTACAAATTATACAATATAAATCTGATGTTATTAACTGTGGATTATTTTTTATAGCCATCAGCCGCCGAAGCAATCCATTAGGTTCACTTCTTTCTGGTACCAATATTTTACAAACATTGACCAGTGCTACACATGGTACTAATTTGGGAACAGCTATATCAATTTTGAACTTACTTAACAATGTTAACCAATTTTCAAATGATGTATGTTTATAGTTGAATGAGATATAAAAACCAACGAATATTGTTCTCTTAGATTCATAAAATTCCTCTTTTGATCAATCAAACACTCGCTAGTATTCTCAATGGAACCGGTCAAGCCGGTCAAGTTATTGTCGATCAATTGATTGGTGCTGTTTCTAGTGCTACTCATCAAAGTAAATCATCAGACTTTACAATGAAATTTGTTTTCTTTTACGGATTTAAATAATAGATGCTGCTAGCCGAAATCTTTTAAGCGCTCTTGGTCAAAATACAAATTTACTTTCAAGTATTAGTCATATGTTACCACAAGGTACATCAATTTCGACCATTCTTTCCATTCTCAATTTATTGAACAATGTTAACCAACTTAATCATGATGTTCATCAAATACCTGTTATCCTCAATCAAACATTAGCTAGCATTGTTAGTGGTGCTGGTCAAGCTGGTGACATAGTTGTTCAACAATTACTTAGCCTTGTTGGAATTCAATCACAAGGTATATTTGATCATTTTTGATTATTATAAATATAATTCAAATTTGAATTGATTTTAGCTGCTAGCCGTAATCTTTTGGATTCACTTGGTCACAATGCTAATTTATTGTCAACTGTCTCACATCTTTTACCACAAGGTACATCGATCTCAACAGTTCTTTCATTATTAAATTTATTGAGCAATGTTAATGCTATTAACAATGATCTTCATCAAATTCCAACTGTTCTTCAAGAAACACTTCAAAATCTTCTTGGCGGTATTCAAAATCTTTTACCACCAACAATTCAACCAATTCAAGGATCATCATAAAAGAAATACATTTTTTTATGGTCGTTATATAATTGAAATAAATTTTTCTAAAAACAAATCTAGTCTTTTTTTTTCAAATAGTTTCTATAACTTGCTATGACGAAATAAAAAAAAAATCTAGATCATATCTACTATATTCTTTCAATGGTTAGTCAAGACAGCTGATATTGTTTGATTTCAACAAAAACATTTCTTCATTATAGGACATTCACAGAGAACGTTCAGGTAAACAAGAAGATCTGTCAAAACTGTACAAATCGGGACAGCATGAGAGAGGATCCAACATTTTTGGACGTCTAGTATAATATATATACTATGAATATTTTCCTTTTTGTTTTTCGCGCAACTTTGTGCAATTTTGAAGTGCATTTTGAAAAAGAAAATGAACTGAACGAATCAATTGAATATGAATAGAGTTTCGAAATAATTCAAGATTATACAATATGAGCAGATATTTATCTCCTCGAGCAATCATATGAGATTTCTGAGTGTCACTTGTACTGAACTTCATATTTTTGTCTTTAATATTTTTGTTTGTTCATTAAAATAGAATGTATCCAAAAAATAAAAATTTTGTACTGATACTAAATATGTAAAGTGAAAAAGATGTACCATGTTACAGTTGTTTTCTAACGTCATCGATCGATATAAACATCATCTATTTTATTCTTCCTTGAGTCTTGAAAAGAATTTTCTGCTTTCTTTAGAGACTCTGTTTTAGTTGCTTCTCGCTCATTAATTTTATTTTTTCGTATTTTTTTCGATTTCTTTTTTTTTTAATTTAATTATACTATCATAGCAATCATTGATTCAACCGGCACATTTTCTCCTACACATATAGATTTGGCGTACAACAAGTATCAATGAATAATATTATATATTTCAACCAAGGCAGAACACTGGCACTGAGTTTGTGTTTGTTCAAATTAACAACTTGATTAGTGGATCATCTCTCACAATTGCTGTCCTCTTAAATATAGATTTTTATATGGGCAAAAATCCAAAACTGAACTACTAGAAATATTAGGAAACCAATTTTATTGATTTCAATTTCGACAATTCCCTGGCTTATGCAAGAGAAGTCAATGTTTCTTTTTATTTTGTTCACTGATTTTTTTCTGTTATTACATTCAGAAGAAGGGAATTGTATTTGTCGGTTGTTAGTGTCTGTAATGGAGGGGAAGGGGAAGCCACAATATCTTCCTCTTAAACTTACACTCACTATTTTATTTGAACAAGCAGGCGTTTTTTGATTTTTTTCTTTTATAGTAGACTCTCATGAGACGTAGGGAGTCGATGAAACTGGACTCAAGCTCGTTGACAGTTATTCGAACAATATGAGATACTTTTTTTCTCGTTGTTTTTTGTTATTCGGTGACTTAGACACACTTCACATTTCTCAGATAAATTGAGCTCAATGGGTCCGAATTACTCGTATTCAGACTCGGACTTGAGTAAGTTCGGGTTCAAGACCAACCCAAAGGGCTCACCTCTGGACCGATAGAATGGGGGGAGTCGAAAATGCGATTTTTACTTGGGTGTCATCAATGGATGACTCTTTATTAATGATTTCAATAAAACCAAAAATAAAGTTCTTATGATCTACTATTGAAACAGTAGTCTCGAAATGTAGTATTTCATATCAAAAGAGATGTCGCAGGTGAACGACTAAGAAAATAGATTCCTAAATTTGATAATAATAACATAAATGATTATTTATTAATTTCATATAAAAAAGTAATTGCGAAAAATTTTCTACTAGATTTCAAAATGATACCATTAGATTATTGTTGGTTTCCTATGTTAACCAATGACGAAATTTTCCTTTTTTTCTAAGTATCATTGTTCTTGCACATGTTCAACCGCAATCGTTTCATTTCATTTTATAATTGTGATTTCTAGAAGGTAGGTCATTTTGATTCAAGTGATATGCGATTCAGGCAGATGACTTTTTTTAATCGTAAGAAATTTTTCATTATTAAGTATTTTGTTTTCTAGATGCCTTCAGACATCGTTATTGATGGTGCTCGTTCTCTCGAACGTATTCGAAGACTTTATTCACTGTGGCGAGTAAGGAAAATTATTCATAAAAGAAAAGAAGACCCTGTTTTTCTCTTCTATTCATATTTAGAATAATGATGAAGCTGATAGCTCGACCAATGACAATAATGCATTACGTTCTGTTGATGCTATTGTGATAATACGAGGACAAAAAGAAGATGATTTTACTTATAGTAAAAGTGCTGCTATGCAGGTTTATTCTTCAGTTTTTATTTTATTCTTAATTATCTAATACAATTTTTTTCTTGTATTCATAGACATGGTTATTTGGTTATGAAATGCATGATGTTCTTGTTGTATTTTGTCAAGATTCAGTTATTATATTTGCTGGTGCAAAAAAACTTAATTATCTTAAACAAGTAAATAGATATATTTTATTACTTGAATATATTAATTTGTATTTCTTTTTGATCTTTAGATTGAAAGTGAACATAATAATAAAGAGAATGCACCAAGAAATTTTAATTTTATAACACGTAAAGAGAATGATGAAAAAAGCTTTGATGATATTATTAAACAAATTAAAATGAGTCATCAAGGAAAAACATTAGGTGTATTTTCTAAAGATAAAATGGAAGGACCATTTTGTGAACAATGGCAAAATTGTTTAAATCAACATTCATTGACAACAGTAGAATCTACTTTTTTTTCTTCTTTAAATCTAATAGTTTATTAATCAAAACTATTGATTTTAGGTTGATATAAGCAGTTCTATTGGTTATTTACTTGCTGTTAAAGATAATGAAGAACTTAGTTTAATTCGTAAAGCATGTGATATAACTGGCAAACTTTATAGTAAACATTTAAAAGATCAAATTATAAATATAGTTGATTCTGAAAGAGTATGGAGAAAAAAGGGATTTTTATTTTTATTATTTTGAATTTTTTTCTTAGAAAGTTAAACATTCGAAATTATCTGAAGGACTTGAATCAGCATTAAATGATGAAAAATATGTTTCAAGTGTAGATGTCAATTATGTTGAAATGTGTTATCCAGCTATTGTACAAAGTGGAGGCAATTATAATCTTAAATTTAGTGCGAATGTGTAAGAGAATAGAGAAAATAATAAAAAGAGAAAAAAACAAACTTTATTGGGACGTCAGAATTTTGATGCAAGTCTACCTCATTATTCCTCATAGAAAGCCTTATTCATATGAATAGTTGGTACACACTGTAGTGCTTACAAGGGAATTATCTGAACTGATATCCACTATTTCAGTTCGTATTGGGTTCACAAGAAGGTCTCGGCAAGGCTATAAAGATCCTGAAAGGGTTGGTGTCCTGCAAGATGACATAGAGATCAGCAGTACGCATTTAGATCAAATCACAGTTCTAAGATCTTGTTCACCAAGATAGGATCATGCTAACCAGAATATATTTAGACCACATTATAGTTAGAGCATTCTGCTCAGGAAATTGCATTTCGGGAGATGTCACTATGTGTCAGTAGAGAAATAGTATAATATGGTTTTCGTAATTGACATGCTGTAGTTGGAGCTATTCGGTATTCAATCAGTAGTTAGATTACCGCACAATTTAGGCGGGAATCCACAATATCAAGGGTGAGTTGGCTTGTGCGAGTCAGCAGCTTTCAAGAAGTATTGGGATGTTTCTATTAGTCGCATTATATATCTTATCATTAAATGAAAAAAAGCTAGACTAAAGGCTGACTCTTCAGAATTATGGCTCTCTTTTAATATCGTTAAAGTATATTATATGCTATCAATAGATAAGTTCGATGGATTATGCCATCTTGCTGAACACTATGGAGTAGTGTACCAACAATTTGTAGGAATAAGGCTTTTTTATAGTGAGTTATGAGGTAAACTTGTGCGTGAGTCAAAATTCCCCTTACACATTTTATCCATTTATTTAGTGATAAAAATACACTTCATTATGGTGGTTCATCAATTATATGTGCATTTGGTATTCGTTATAAATCCTATTGTTCAAATGTTGTTCGTACACTTTTGGTTAATCCATCAGAAGAAATGAAAAAAACTTACCAATTTTTACTCGATTGTGAAGAAGTCATTTTACAAGAACTTAAACATGGTATGTAGAACAATTATTTTTGGTTTTTCTTTTGTACTCTAAAATATTAATTTTAAAATTTTCTAAAGATGTTCTATTATGTAATGTTTACAAGATGGTACGAGAAAAAGTTGAAAAGGAACGACCAGAATTTCTTAATAAAATGACAGTTAATTTGGGGTTTGTATTAATTGAATGAGAAAACATTTACACATATATAGATATATATATCATTTTATAGAACAGCATTAGGTATTGAATTTCGAGAAAGTACTATTGCTATAACAAGTAAATGTACAGCACGAGCCAAGAAAGGTAATTACAAAAGAAAACAAAAATTAGATTCTTATAAAATAATACATAATTATCTTTCAATAGGAATGACATTTCAAGTAAGTATTGGCTTTTCTGGCTTGGAAAATCCTGATGGAAAAGATGAACAATCAAAAACTTATGCTTTATTCATTGGTGACACCATCGTTGTCAATGAGGTAAACCAATACAAGTAATATATATCATAATATTGTAAATGTTCTAGAATGAATCTTGCACAATATATACATCATCAAAAAAAGATATTAGTCATATTGCAATTATTTTAAAAGATGATGGTACACAAGATGATGTTGATGATACACCTGCAATAGCACCACGACGTGCAGCTGCTGAAAAAGCTCGAGTAAAAATTTTTATACAGTTTGATTTACGAAATTTCTTATTTTTTTACTAAAGATTGATCCAAAGATACCTGAAGAATCACGACAAGACTATCAAAAAACATTATTACGTAGATTAAATGAACGTGCTGAAGCTCGTTTAACATCACAAGGTGATAAAGTATCTGCAGAAAAGTAATTATCATTATTGATAAATTGAAACAAAAACAAAACTTTTTTATATTTTA